ATCTTGAAGAAATTCATGTTCAAAGAAGATGAAGAAACTCGTGTTCAAAGAAGATGAAGAAACTCGTGTTCAAAGAAGATGAAGAAACTCGTGTTCAAAGATGAAGAAAATCGTGTTCAAAGAAGATGAAGAAAATCGTGTTTAAAGAAGAGAGCAAAAAAAAAATTTCACGTTTCAAAGATAAAATAATCTCCATCATTTGGAGAAGAACTCGCATCAAACTTTTTAGTTGTATATTAGGCAATAAATGAAGTAAAATAGATTTATTATTATTCGTCGACATTTATTAATTTATACGCAATTACGCATTAAGAATTATAATGGAATCGACACTTATTTCCATGGAATTTACGTGAAAAAAATTCAATAATAAATTTTATATAGGTCCACAAATAGTTTTAATTTAATTAATTGACCGCTCACTCCAGCGTTGCACGCGTAACTGTATATTATATTATTCTTTATTTGTACGTACTGATCACTAGCTAGCGATTTTATTGAATTTAAGTCAGATCAAGGCATTCATACGAAATAACATACTGTATGTCTACAAAATATTATGATGATCTGTTTGTAAAAAAAACATTGTAATACACCCGATAATCTATCTAATTTCAAATAAATAAAACCCATTCACTATTATAATTAAAAAAATATATGTTGTTTAATTTGTTGATTTTTTTCTCTTATTTCTTTGTTAGATATTTAAAATTCACGGATATGTTATGTATATACTAGTTAATGAATGATGATGATACAAAATATGAGACTTGATGCAAACAAACCTACCAACTTCTACGATATAGAAGATAAACATCAAATAGCATTATACAGCAGTACTTTTCGTTTACATATTTATACATATAATTGCAATAAAAAGAAGAATTTGTTAATTTAAAATTGTTATATATTTGAAATATATCATGATGATTAAGAAATGTACGTGTAATATTATGTACTTCCTAATTTCTTATGACGTTCATTTTTTAAAAAACGATCACGTGATTGATTTCAAACCTGATGACTAAAATACTCGCATACTACCAATGTTGAATTACAAAAGTATTCATATATATAGTAAAAGAATGATATTTCGGACTTTTAACTAATTAAAATCTGAATCACAACTTTCAAAATCGCGAAATTAATTTATTCTTATTCATCCATCGGTTATTTCATATACATTTGATATGTTTGCCGCTTCATATAATTAATGATTCCAATATGAAAAAAATTATGATTACATAATATGCTGTTTCATACATTTAGAATGGTGAAAAATCGGTAATCATTAGTAAGTGATATTTAGAAATTATTATTAATATGAGCAAATGCCAAGTTGTCGCTGCATGTTCCAGAGAATGTTTAACGGGATTTACTACGAAATCCAGAATCCCATTATAATGCAAACCCGTAATCCCGAAAATTCAAAATTCCGACACTCATTATCCCGAACATACCTACAAATATTTTAAAAAATGATGCCAAGCCACTCCAATATTACGTTGTTTTATTAAGAAATTATTGACGATTCAGCCTTAAGTATAATAGCGATGCCTCACCGAAAACTGCGACTTTCACGCCAAATATATTAAATGGGAATATTGTAATTATTATGTTTTTATTTATTTAATTCTGTACTAAATAAATTATACAGTCTGTACATCTATAATAACATAAATGAGCAATCAATAATTATTACTTGTTACTAATATTATATATTCATAAAACTTAGTTTACATTTCAAAATAACGTTAAACTTACTGGCAAGAACTTGTGTTATTAATAAATATTTTCAGTCAAATATTCCCAGTTGTATCTTTTTCTTCGTTTCCAGTTTATTAAATAAATAATTTGATCAGTTTCAACTAAATCGAAACCGGTGATAATATAAAGTAAAAAAATGAAATTTATTTTTCTAACTAGTAAGTGCTTTGCAGAAACCTCTGGTTTTTACAAAATATGTTAGACATAATCACCACATGTTACTAACAGATGGTATATATACAGTATGTTGTACATATTTTAATATACGCAATATGTTTGTAATATTAATAAAATAATGTTATAACATTTTTAATATATTTTTAAATTTCTAATTAAACTAATATAATGCAGTAAATATTTTTGTAATATGAATAAAATAATTTTACAGTATTTTTGAAGTATGTTAAAACATGTATTTAAACTAATGATATAGTGAATATTTTGAATATGTTGTTAATATATTTCAAATTTGTTGTTGGAATATGAATGAATATGATATAATACTTGTAATTGCATAGTGATAACAATGATACCATACTCCAAATGCATATACAATTAGTATATATTAAACTAGTATATAATTTTGATTATATAATTTTGGCTAAGTTTACGATAAAAATAAAATTCGTGACTAATCAATCTGCACAAATAATAATAACGTAACTACGTTCTTTTTTTATTGATTTGTTACATTTTTTTTTGATTTTTACAACATCCTTTTTTACATCTATTCCTATGTCCTTTAATCAAAAATTCTCCTTTTTTACGCCTTTTACACATCCTTAATCGTAAAAAATTACCATTTTTTACACCATTATCATTGTCATTACAAAATAACAAAAAAAAGACAGATAATCACAAACTTCGTAGCCACGCTCAATTAAGGCAATGTATTACTAGACCTACACTAAAGATGACTTTAGTAAGGCTTTCTTTGTGATTTAATACATTTTGCCAGCTGGTGAGAAAGCTTATGATCTCTAATCTTATACTAAAAATTTCAAAGCTTTTCAAAAAAAGTTTGACAGTTTTTTAAAAAAAATTAAAAGAAATAATTAAAAAAAGGTTCAATTTGAAAAACTTTAAAAAAAAATTAAAAAAAAAAGTTTCAATATTTAAGAAGGTAAAATAATGTAAAAAAAAATTAAAAAAAGAAATAAAGTTAAGTGGGTAAAATAATGTAAAGAGAACATGCATGGAAAGAAGAAATTATCGTATGTAAATCACTAAATACAAAAGAGAATAGTTTATTTCAAAAATCATCCAATATTAATGATCCGCAAATTGCAGTTTGATAAAGACTAAGCTTTTTTAAGCTTATTTGCGCCAGTATCTCTCCTGTATATTTTATCTTTTTTTTCGTTAGCTTTAAGCTTAATCTTTTTTTTCGTTAGCTTTAAGCTTAATCTTTTTTTTCGTTAGCTTTAAGCTTAATCTTTTTTTTCGTTAGCTTTAAGCTTAATCTTTTTTTTTTGTTAGCTTTAAGCTTAATCTTTTTTTTCGTTAGCTTTCTCTTTCCTTTCATAATTTTCTCTTTTCCATTTCCTCTCTCCACTCTTTCCCTCTTCTTTCTTTTTATCCTTTCTTTTTCCTTTTATTTTTCTCACTCTTTGCTTTTCCCCTGGTTTTTTCTTTTACTTTTTTTTAGCGGCTGCTTTGAATCTCCTTGAACATGGTTTCGTAAGTCTCTCTTCAAGTTATTTCTCTTAATGAAGGTTACTAATACTCATTTCTTTTTTTTTAGGCATTTTTTTAGATGTTTGGGTGCATGGAAAATTTGGTGGGTAAATCATTTTTTTTAGCAGTTTTTTATGTTAATTAAAAAAGAACCCTTTTCTAACATTTTTCTCTTTTACTTTTTAAAGAAACAATTAAAGTTTCTTTTTTTTCTTTTTGTAGACGAAATACAGTATCTAGACGCATGAAAAATTTGGTGGGTGAAGTTTTTTTTTTATTATTTATTATTTCTTTTGACAAAACATTCACTGACGTTTCATTTATTAATTATTCATTTTTGTAGTCTTCGAATATTGGACGCATGGGAATTTGGTAGGAAAAGTGATTTTTAAATCATTTTTTAATGAAATAGTTATTGACATTCCACAAAACTTCCTATTGTTTTGTTATTTCTTCTATTTTATATATTTTATAGGCGACCAGTACTAGGATGCGTAGAATCATGTAATTTAGGTGGGCATTTCAGTAATCTTCCTTGAATTTTTTATTTTAACAAAACTTATGTTTATTTTTATTATTTTTTTAGACAGCCAATTTTCTGGACGCGTGGATTTTGGTAGGGAGAGCATGATTAAAACTTCATATTGCCGATATATTGTAGATTTACATGAAGAATCTGAAGGTGTCGCATATGCTAAATTGAATTCATTATTCAACATAAAGCAAATAATGGTCAGTATTACACTTTTTTCTTATTTAATTAGTTTCAGGTGACAAACTATATTGATTCTATATCAAGATGCCCAATTTATAATATTCAGGAACTGGAAGAATCACAAATCTTTCCAATCAATTTTATTGATCACGTGGCTTTAGTTCATTTTATTCACGATTGTAAAAGTACATGTAACACCAAACATGATGAGGCTAATCAAGGTTATATTTTAAATAGTTTTTATGACACTGCAGTTTAGTCAGTTTAGACAACTATATCGCTAACATTATATTATTATATTACATTAGAGAAAAAATTCTTTCAAAAAATCAAGTCGTACATGAATTTATTGGAGGTTTAAATCGAAATTTTTATCATACAATCATTATATTATTTTATTATTTTTGACACATGGCTATTATATTATTTTGTTATTATTACTCTGTCATTGATATATTTTCAATATATAATTGCTATATAGAATTAAATTTCTATTATATTATTAATACGTATTTACCATATGATGGCCATATAAAGTTAATATTTTGAATAATATTTTTATCATATCTCTGATACATATTTGGCATATAATAGTCATATAATTTAACGTTCAAAATAATATTTTTACCATGTCTCTAACATATAGTTACTATATAAAAATCAGATTTTTATATTATATGTTCAACATATTGTCAACATATAGTTAAAACAGAGATAACATAAATATGATTATCATATGTCTGGTATATTTTAAAAATATCGCTAACATATTTTTTATATTGATAGGGTTTCTGCAAAGAATAAATATAGATTCAATTATTTTTGATATTTAAAAATTATTTTACCGTCCAAATAAAACTGTAGGCTCTGTAGCGTAAATCTTTCCTTTGAAATTAGTATATTCAGTAATATAAGGTAAAGCTAACATATGATTATAATTGGTAATAAATATGAAATCAATAATATTCCAATCGATGCTACTAAATTCAGGAGTTTCCACTAAAAATTGACCACGCCGACGAACTCCACCACCTGCACCTCCACTACCATCACCAGTTGAATCAATTAGATGATCCAATTACGACGTTTCTTATCATTTTCTTTATTTTCTAATATAGCATCATTAGAAGATGATGTATGATCCGAATGATCTGATATATTGGAAGAAACTTCAACAGAAACTGATGCATGTTGTTGTGCTTTTGACCCAATAATATCACGAGGTGGAAATTCTAAAAAGTAAGAAGTATATAATCCACAATCTATTAATATATTCATTTGCATTAATTTGATTAAAAAACAATTTCTTCTTAAGTTACGACTTAACGGATGCTAATTTTAAAAAATGATAATAATAATCAGTTTAATTAATTTAATTCACTGATATAAAAATAAACAATTACCAATTTCATTTTGGTATAATTTATTATAATAGATAAATAACGTTTAAAAGAATTTTTTTAAGGCAGATCTGATTTTATATTATTTTTAACGTATGACAATGCAGGTGTAACGATTACAACTGTAGCACGACAAATAGAGCGTGACAAAAAATATTCACCCCAGCTTAAATTTTATCGTTATTATAAAGGTGGTCAAAGAATTTTTCTACATTATGACAATTTTTAATGGTAATCCACTGAAATATATTCATGCAACTTTATAGGTTGAATGAAGTCACGTACATACTGCGGCAATGGTTTGACTTAAAAACAAATGTGCCAACAGTTAATACAGTTAATTCAGAATAAAATGACTTTAGAAACATCCGGCTATATTCTATTTAAGTTATATATATACTGTATAACATGATTAAATAGTTAATGATATACAGTATCTTGATTTATTTCAGAAAATAGGAATACAAACAAAACCTTTTTAAAAGTTTGAAGTATGGATTTGTGAGAATTGAATATGCATTGTGGTTGTGACAAAAAATTTTACTATAATCACGTGCTCGGGCTTTTTTTGACTGCTACAGTTGTAATCGTTGTATTACGTTAAAAATATAAAATCAGATCTTGCCTTAAAATTCTTTTAAAAATGTTATTTATCTTTTATAAATTGTGATGCCCAAGGTTACACAACCTTTACAACCGGTCATAACTATTACATTAATGGTAAAACTCGTGTCCTTGTTTTGGATAGCGAAGAGATCGATGATCCCCACAGGATGAAAATTTGGCCACGAAATTATTTATTTTATGTTTAGTTATTTCTTCAACTGTCGTATATAATATTAATGGAGTTGTTGATAGAGAAGACATGGAAAAATTGCATTTGACGACAGATTTAAGTAATTTTATCAATAACAAATAAAAAAAAAAAGATATAAGGTACAAGTATATGATTTATTATTTTATAATAAACCGAATGTTAACTATAAAATATTTTAAATATATATTACTATATCACTATACTTTTTCTCAATCACACGTTTTGCTTTACATGAGGAGTTGGCATCTGCCTCAAGAATTTTTCTATATAGATAAATTTTCGTGATTAATATTGTGATTTTTAAAAAAAACGAACGATTAAAACGTAAAATTTTTATATTTTACAAATTAAAGCTGAAAATACAAAGTGATTTTTTCATGAAATTTAGTTTGAAACAATTAAAAAGTTTATTATAATAATAAAATAACTCGCGTTCAAATAAAATTTCACAAGAAATGAATAATTTCATTATTTTTGCGAGAAAAAGAATTTCTCATATATCGCGCAGCATATTTTTAAGGTCTTTGACCAACTCTATCCGTGAATTATGATACATTACGGAAAAAAAACACGGAATAAATGCCAGCCGAACTGGGAACAAATTATTTTTTCAAAGTCTTTTTCATCTAAAATCATTTTTTTTTGGAAATCTTAGATGTTTATAACTGACATAAATGGCAGATTACATTATGCAGATGATTATTTGTTTGTTGATAATCTAAAAAAATTTGTATAAAAAGAATGAAATGGAGTTGGAGAAATGGGGAAATGGAGCTCGATCACACTTTTAAAAACTTTCTCTACATGTAAAATTCATTTTTATATACGACTTGGATAAATTTATTTTATTTTGATATTATGTTTAGTTAACCCTATGAACTTTTTTTTCTACTTTATCTCATTTATTTTCAGAGTTTTCTTTAAAATGATAATCACTTTTACTAGTACTTAAAATAGTTAATAAATAACTTATAAATATAATATATTTTATGTCTTTATTTTGAACGAACGGTACGATATCAGGCATTCAGACTATTTTTTGCCACTATTGAAATTTGATATTAGATCACTAAAAATGTTTAATGTTTTTATGGAAGCCCAGTAAAAAGTTCTTGTACCAAATATAGGCCAATTATGAAATGAGCCCATTCGGTATAAAATTTGGCCATATTTATTTTAATTTTATCCCATTTATGGTCCAATTTTTTATACCAAACGGGCTCATGTATAAATTCAATACAAACCTAATATGAATTCAGTACAGGACTTTTTACTGGGAAGACATATATTAGATATTAAAAGATCTTGAACGTACTAAAATCTTCAAACTATAGAATAGAGCGATAGTAAAAAAATAAAATTATTTTTTTTTGCTTGACAACAAAAAGAATGTTGTTACATAAAGGGTGATACATTTATAAAAAAAATGAAATTACAATATTAGAATATAATTGATTTACTGTATAAGCCATAGCATATTTAAGTATATATTATCTTTATTGATTATTGCGGACAATTTAATATGGCATGAAACTCTGCCAGCTAATGCAAGAAGATTTAGCTGCGCCAAAATAATTATGTAGGTCTTTCCTTTTATGGATATCTGGATATCTTTGATAATTCTAGTCAGGAAATTATTCCTTTTTTAGATACTGGATGGCATTATTATAATTTTGGCTCTGGGAGATGCTTAAAGATAATAATAAAATTTTTTTTAGATGCACTTTATCCATTTATGAGACCTTCTCATTTTATTTGCTGTTTTTGTTTTATTTAAAAAATGTAACGTCTCCGTTATTTCCGTTTTGAAGTATATTGTAATTCTATGCTTGATTTATTATTATTAAAATTTTTTTAAAGAGAATTTCAATAGTTAAAAAAATTTTTTCTTTCATCAATAAAGATAAATTTGGTAAGATTCAGTTTTTTTCTTTGTCATTAACGATTGTTTCATTCAATATTTATAGCAAAATGTTTTATTGTACAGTACCTTGTAATGGATAACAAAACAGTCCCTATAAAAAAAGAAAATTCGGAATTTGTCCTGAAAAGTATGGAAAATGTCCGGAAATTTTCCGTGCGTCCGGAAAACATTCGGAAACGGTCACGTTTTGGAACACTTTCCGGACGCTCGATTCTGGACAAATTCTGGACAAATTCTGGAGTGTCAAGAAAATGTCTGGAATTTGTGCGTCCGGAAAGTGTTCCAAAACGTGACCGTTTCCGAATGTTTTCCGGACGCACGGAAAATTTCCGGACATTTTCCATACTTTTCAGGACAAATTCCGAATTTTCTTTTTTTATAGGGAGTACTCATTCAAAGCCTTTAAAAAGAAGGACGAATGACAATTAAGGAGTATATTATTGCTTTTCCATTTCAGTTTCATTTTTAAATTTAACGCAAATTCTTCATAACTGCCCACAAAAGAAATGAAAGAAATGCGTATATAAGGTGTGTATATACAAATGATTTTAAGTTACACAATCTGTCATAATCACAAGAAGTTCTTTATGAAAACTATAAAGACTTTAAAGACTATATTATAATACAAATAGAGGTTTATTTTATTTAGAAAATAATGTTAAACAAGGTAAAATAAAACTTTTTAAGTAAATTAATTAAAATTTTTATAGAAACTCAATTGAGATAAAACGATAAAAACACAGCCTCATATTTTACTAAAATTGTGAGATATTATTTGAAAATTAATAACATAAAAATATCAATAATAATAAGTAATAATAAATTTTATTAGATTTTTTTTATGTATGCGAAATTCAAAATTAAATGATAAGGTCCCGATTAATTGCTGCAAATTTTAAATATATGCGAATCTTAATCTAGAACCATGTAAGCCTGTAAGGATAATATTATATGACGAACCTAAGGCTAAATGTATATTAAAATGTTTTTTGTTCATTATTTCCTAATTTGCTATTAGCCGTAATATACTAGATTTTTTAATTGCCAAAACTTTATAGAAAGAGACAATAAAAAAAAAAATTTTTTTATATATAACGATGAATAATTTGTTGATTCGCATTATGTCGTTGTAATGTTTCTATCTTTTTTAATAAATTTTCTATATTATTTGCATATTATTAGTACAAGGATTCTTTGGTTTGGTTTAGGCAGTTAGATTCAAATATATTCATTATGTTTATTACTTATTCAGTCAAAAAAGAAAAGGACAAATTGAAACAAATTTAGACGCGTTTTTTTGGTTAATTCTTTATTAATTTCATTATCAAATTATCAAAATTTGCTTATTTAATCAGAATGTCAAAAAAGACTAATTGTAATAATTGCAATAATTGCGTGATTTGAAAGTAATTTCTTTGAATAATAAATTGATTGTTAATAAACCATTCAAAGTACTACTATAGTATCAGAATTCGTGTAACCAAAAGATAATGAAATATTACTTCATGCATTAGTATTATAAACTTACCTTTTTGAGATTTATTGATTTTTACTTTATTTGTTACGGTACATGATGCATAATAATCATAATAATTCATCCATTTTTCTACAGTATCAATTATTAAAAGGAAATTACGTTTAGGGGAATTATTAGCAACTCTGATTTCTATAATGTCATATTAATAAATTGTGAACATTTTTCACTTTTTTTTTGAATCAAATAAAGAAAACTTCTAACCATATAAAAAGAGAAAATAATTTCTTTTTCATACGAAATCGAAAATTTTATGCGCATATATAAAGTAATATGGCATTTCCCGTGATAATCATATATAAATAATATAATAAGTAATTTTATCGCCTATGCATTTTTGTTTGTTTTTATATGATGCATTACATATAATTCAATAATGTAAGTGCGTACATGTATATTAGTGGACTGGGATTAGTGGGGCGATTCAGAGTGTATCATACGATTTAACAGAATTATAAATTTAAAATATTAAACGAATCGCGGAAAAATTCTAAAATCGGTTAATACCTTTTTCTACTCATCACGTGATATGACATGCAAATTTTATAGTAAACTAATAGTATCAATCCTGGCTAAGCCACTTGCAGAGTTTGAAGTCGCTAAAGTTCCACGTCTTTGATTTCGCTATGATGGAGGAACGTAAGATTTCGACCATAAATTTCCATCTAATTCAAATTTTAAAATAATTTATTTTTGAACCATTTTGACCAAAAATAAGTTGATTTTGGTTCTTATTT